GCAAAGCACAATCAGTGCAAATCGGTTCAGTGCTACTTGGCGTGTTTGGGAGCTGTTACAGATCAGGGTAATATCGTCCGCATCATCATCATTATACACGTTAGCTAGAGGTGGGAAACACCTCAGCTACTGTGCCGCAATACCTAAGAGAAAAGGAAAATAAATACAACAGTTGCATGCCAGCTGAGCTAGCAGCAACGGATGGGCATCGTTCCGGTAAGCTACCAGCCGGCTAGTAGGCAACAAGAAAAAATATTATATAATATGATATTACGCTACGAAATGAGATAGTGGTTGGAGGGGGAGGCTAAAAGGGATGTGGAGTGACAAAGAAACTCACAGCAGGAACGCCAATGAGGTCGGCTCCCTGCCATGTCAGCAAGTGTATCTAGCCAAACGTGTTCATCGTCCGCATACTCCAAGTCAAGAAGCCGCTCACCTGGAAGTAGCTCCAAACCTTCTAGGTCGTGTCCAGCGAACGCTGTTTCCATGACTTCGTTAATAGCGAAGTTAAAGAGGAAACATGACAGCGGGCAATATTGTCACAAACCACTGGAGATATTGAAGGGCAGTGACAGTTTGCCATAAACCCTCACTCTGCGCACACAGCGCCAGGATGAAGTGTACGTCTTTATCGGTCAAACCTTTCCTCTTCAGATAGTCCCAAAGCGCACATCGATCAACCGAATCGAAGGTACCTTTGATTTCGAGAAACACGACTATGGTGGGTCGCCAATAAACATGGTGGTGCATCAACAATGGACGCAAAGTGAAGATACGGTCGACGCAGCCCCGACTTCGACGAAACCCGTCTTGCTCTTCGCGGATCTGGCCTTCACGAACGACAGTCAGTCTGTAGAGAATGACAGACGCAAACAGTTTAGATGCAATTGAGATCAGACTGATTCCTCTATGACTGCCGCAATCTGAAGATGAGCATCTCTTGGAAATTGGAACTATGACGGAGCGGCACCAGTCTGTCGGGACAGTGTGCTGCTCCCAAATTTCCACTAGCAACTTGTGTAAACCATCTAGAAGAGCAAATCCCCCGAACTGGAAGAGGTTGAGGGAACTCTATCTGCCCTTGCGCCCTTATGCAATTTCCAGAATCTGATCTCATGTTTGACTTTTGCGCGTGAAGGGGGATCTAAGGAGACGAACCATGGAGAAGGGCACTCAATGCCCGAAAAAGAAAGTGATTGGTTAAACTGCCGCTCAAAGTGTTCGGCCCAACGCTCCAAGCATTTTGAAAGGCTGTGGATCGGCTGTCCACTATCATCGCGTATTGTCTTGCAAACACCACGTCTTCTGCTGCCTGTTTCACGTAGCAGATGGAATAACTTATGACGATTACCAACGGCAGCGGCTGTTTCTATCTCAGAGGCACGACGAGACCACTGAATTTCGCGGTCACTCTTCAGGTTAGCACGTAGTTTTGACCTGAGATTTTTGCGAGTCTCATTGCATTCGCTTCCAGCTGGAATACGTCGGCGAGCATCCATAAGTTGCAAAGACTGTGTAGAAACCCAATGTCCAGTTTGGCAATTTGATTTGCCACATGAAGACATGCCTGCTGATAGTAAGATTTGACAAGCATGCAACCAGTAATATTCGACGGTGTTCAGTGGGCGCTTACTCAGCCCGGATGTCAGGGTACTTTGATATGCATTCATAACACCTGACCTCGCCAGTTGGCTGGTGTCTATGTGCTCAGAGCGACGTTGTGAACGTCCACCGAAACGCACCCGAAGGTCGGCACACACAAGAGCCTGATCGGAGTACACGCTCGTGCTCTAAATCGAGCAACAGTTTTGGACACAGCCTCCCCAGCGGTAACTAATAGCTATGTGGTCGATTTACGTCCATGGCTGGTGGGCGTAAAGTCACTCTTCTGCGGATACTATGCCGAAAGTTAGTGCTCGCGAGAAAGAGACGAGCAACTTCACACAGGTGCAACAATCGCTCACGGTTATCATTACGGGAGCTTACATCATGTTGGCCGCCCGGATGAAGCTCATCAGAGGACAATTTACCGACCTGGACCTTTAGATCACAAGCAAACATCACATTATCTGTGCTTCACCTGTAACGAAGGAAATCGTTAAGTTGGTGATAGGAATCATCTTTCACCGAATCAGGGCTGCAGTTTGTGGAGGCGTAAGCCGCAATGACAAACAGGAACCCCTTGTCTCCGCGCGGCTTCGAAGCCTAGAACGAGCCAGCTAATACAACGGCGCACATCCGGCTGTTGACTGGAATCCAGGCGATCAGGAAAGCTTCAGCCCAGGAACTCAGAGAAATGCCGACGCCAGCTTAACCTGCATTCAAAGCTGCATCATCGCCAGACAGGCGCAATGAGAATGTGCCGCCAGTGTCGCATGTGGAGGGATCGCAGAGTAAGCACGGAGCTCGAATCTTGCAGGCGGGTTTTTGATAAACAGCAAATATCGATCGATAGGGTCTATAGTGTTTGGCTAAGTGCTGCCTATTGGCCAGTATACAGCAAAGTGCGCACGTTGAGGCATGTCATTCTTAGCGAGGATCGAGGACTCCAAAGGAAAATGGATGGACTGACGTTTTCCGTTTGGCTGAACATGGACTTGCCGACTGGACTGGAGCGAATTCCTGCGATTGTGTAAGTTGAAACTAGAGGACGAGCGACTACTGAAGCAAGGTGGGAGTGGGCCAAAAATTGGGGGATTGAAAACGGGGGGATATAAGTGAAGTTGGAGCGGGACGTTAAGGATGAAAAAGCAGAAGAGGGGGAATAGGAAGGCGGGAAGGCCTGAACAGTAGCATAAAAAACCGCTATCCACCATGCTCGATGCAGCAGATAGGGCGCCTTTTATTGTCTTCTGCGACGGCCAGAACATCAAGAGATTGTTGGAAGGAAAAGTCATAATGTGCGTGGGCAGAATACTGTCAAGTTGCCCAGGCCTAGACAGGAGAACGATTAGGGTTCTTAACCAAGGCTTTTGGTTCAAAAAAATCCTACCGCAAGGCTTGGCAGTGGACTACAAGGAGTCCGTTTTAAGAAATAAGGAGCCACCCTCCATCCAACTCCTAAGCTGGAGGACCAGAAGACTGTGTTCGTCTGGCCTCTAACTATTGATCAATCTGGTATAAGTGGGTCTGAAGGTGTAAAAAGCACCACCCAGCATAGATCAATGGATCACTGAGGCACACAAACTATCGTACCACGTTAAGGTCCAGTCTCATCGCGATGAACTCTAACTATTGACCGATTTGGTAGGAGTGACTCTGTAGTTGCAAGAGCCCCCATTAAGATCAACTCAACGGATGGTTGAGGAACGCAAATCCTCGCACCACGATAGGATCAAGCATCAATGTGATTACTGCAATGGAGTATCCGAGGTCCGGTGGTTAAACACTCAATGGTGAATCCCTGCACTACTCATGCAAATCGCCCGCTAGATGAAAAGCGTCTTATAGACATCCAAGATCACAGGTGACCAGTCCCACGAAACAGTTAGATAACAATGATCACATCACTGACCCATACAGACACTGGACGCACTGCAGTGTTGGGCATCACTTTCTTGGCAAGTGAACCCATGTTCCACCGTCTTTATGTGTGACGCAGGAGTTGAAAAGCCAAGCGGACCTAAGTGATGTAACTTTCGATCACTTCGGTGGTGCGAATGTAAGAGGCGACGTAGGCTACTGACTGCCTCGAGAGTTCGTTCCATGCTGGTGAATCGGCTTAGTCCTGTGACAGCACTTCGCACTTCGGAAGTGTGAGGCACATTCTAAGGTGTGTAGTGTCAACTTATGCCTTCCGTGTGGCGTAATTCTGTCGGTTGATCATAGAGCTATAAAAGTAGGAGAGTAGGGTAGTTCTGATACACTAGAAAAGCGGGCAGCAAATAGTAGCGCAATACGTCAGCCTAGCCAACAACGCTTGAAAAGCAACCGGGTCAGCAGTGAACGAAGCGATAGTGTGAGTGTAATAGTTAATTGGAGTTCGTTGAAAGACCATAAGCGGTGTTATTTATACCTTGCTCCAAGTAACGGCAACTAATGAAGGAAATTACCAACTAAATTAAAAATGGACTCCGCTAACATCAGCAGCATCGTTCGATCTGAGTTTAGTCATCTAAACCGACAACTACAGAGGACACCAGACAGTCTATAGGAGGCACTGCTGGATTCGTTTGGTTTTATAAACGTTTAAAATATTCCAACTCTACTAGTCAGAATGGCCGAAACGCTTTTCATCGATAGTAACACACACAAGGCAGCGGATTGGACTGGGATTGGTATGGCCTAAGAGACCTAGCCGCCAGACATGTGTACACGCGAGCTAAGACTGAAGACGAAACAAGTAACTTCGCACGATTGCGTCGAGACAGAGAAAAGACTGCCCGATAACAAGAACCAATAAGTGTGACTCAGACGAACATGTCTTCTACACATTCGTGTTTGTAACAACAGTATAGCAGCGTAGTGAATAACTTATAAATGGAGGTGAATGTTGAAGGACACATTAGTTGCCATGTATTGGTAATGTCCTGAGGAATCTGCGTGGTTTGCGTTGGCACGGTAGTACGGTAACTGTTACCTCCGCCGTTTGAGTATACGCATGGTGACATTACTACTAAACCTGCTAAGGCAGGATCAGACGCCTTCGGTGCAATGTTGATGGAACTACGCGAGGTCCGCAACACATGGAATTGCCCTGGTCTATGAGACAAGTCAGTTCCGGGTCCTCGAATGTTAACGGAGGTGGTGATATTAAGATCTATCAGAAACAAATGTGATGAGGGAAGGGTTAAATGTTGAGTGGGCTGGTGAAACATGCTTTCAAGAAGCAATGATCCCATCGTATAAGTAACACGGAGATAAGGTAGAAATGACTACCTGTCATCTCGCGGTACATTGACGACGAGAACGTACTGACGCGAATCCGAGAAGAATGAGCAATATTCATTAAGAAAAGCACAAGAAAAGACACGCAAAAGCAAGAGGTTATGATTTACCTAGAGGAGTAGTCATCCGATATATAGAGCTCAAAATATTCGCAATTTCGTGGGAGAGTGGAATTCCCTCCCTCGTCACATTAGACGTTTTTGATTGGGACATAATTGAGTTCAAAGAGCTCGCAGCACGCCTTTGTGATTCATCAGGCTGAGCTATTTCGTTTAACATATCGGGTGGTAATCTTGCCACTGCCAAACGACGCAGCGATATGTAGATCGTAGACTGTTCAATCGGTCGACCGTCTGATTGTGCCGGTAAAAGGGGTTGCAAGATCTGCAAAGATAAAACAAGGAAGCCGAAGGAAGAGTCAAACAGCGTCTAGGGATAAAGCCGGTATCATCGTATGGATCCGTGAAGCTAAACTACGGTTGTTTTATTCGAGTACCACATTTTAAGCAGCAATCACGAGCACAGCTCTTTGAGTACAATCGTGTCAAACAGGGATGCCAAAAGTTTGAAAGTACTATCCAGCGAAATAAATCTCAAACCTCATAAGGAACGCAAAACTGACGGAAAAGGGAAACATTTTCCTGATCGAAAGTGAGGAAAAGCAAACGAAAAACATTTGGTGGTAGACTGAAAATAGGAAGACCAAAATGGTGACCACTGTGTAATATGGTGACACAGTTAAACAAGTGCTTGTTTCAGACAAATCAACCAGTTGCAGCCAGTGTCCTTAGAGTCTTTTGGGAGTCACCGTCGCTCCGTACCCTTGCGAAACCTGGCTACCCATGTACATTTCGGGTATCGGTCTTTGATGTTTGGTGTGTTATGTTCGCAATGATAACGGCTTTCTTTGTATTTGGGAAGCTATAAGCTGGTAGAAGTTATTGGTAACCGATAAAAGTGCAAACATTTCTTCATAGACTGCACCTACAAAATGCAACGGATGGTTGGATGTAGTGAAAGCAAGATCGATCAAGACACAAGGAAAAATTTGAGTTGAATGGCGGAAAGTAAGGGATACTGGACCTCAAAGAGGAAAGCATCATGACAGAGGACGCGGTAAGCAAAACGTGTCATCGCGATAAGACTGGATCATAACGTGGTGTGATAGTCCGCGTACCTCTGGGACCCATTAGGCTAGGCCGTGTGGCACTTTCAAGTGCCTTTAGAGCTATTCATATAAAACAGGTCAAAGGTAAAGGGTCAGACTAACAGCCTCACAATCCGATCCACTTCGGAGGTTAGGGAGAGGCCGATGTCCCTCTTCCTTCAAAGCCCAGCCATAGGAGAAAACGAGGTTTACGGAAATAAGCTCACAGCTCGATTAGCGTAAAGTACGAACGCCCCGCATCGTCTCTGACGATGGCAAGGCATCGCCCGATGCTCAATGGCAGTTGAGCTGTTCGTTGAGCTTGGCAATTTTGTTGCAAACGTTTCGTCACCTATCGAGGTGACATCATCAGTGCGTAGTTGGGTGGCGTGCAGTAGAGAGGAGCAGCGTAAAGGAGCCTCGGTGCTCAATGATTTGCTATTGCCCCATCAAGTCATGCAGCCTCCGGTTAAATTGGTGCAAACTCGCCAACTCCCATCTTCGGCTGGCCGTGGTCGCGGGTGTGTAACATACTACGGTCGTAAAACACATGAGCACGGTTCGAAACCATCAAAGATTGCGTGTGACAGGCCTCAAACAGATCCCGACAGGTCTCTGTAACCTCATACTCGAAAAGATTATGATCATGACTGCCATGCGGGTCAGGCTACTCAGCCAAAGGCTCACAATAGAGTCCCTCATGCGAACCTCCATGTGCCCCACTGCCTTGTGGGTCAGACTGTTGAGTCAAAGGCTAGAGGTATGGCACATCGAGAAAACCCCTCTGTTGGAATAGGCAGCCGGAGAGTATCACGTCGATAACACTTCATCTCATTATTTTTCTCCTCTCTTTACCCTCTTTTCTTCCGTCTATTGAGCAAGAAACTGCGACTGACCACGTAACCGTTGCCAAAGATACATGCAACTCTGTCAATTTCCGCACTGGATCAGATCAGTCAACAGGCAGCCCTAACCCTCACCATTCACTTTCTTGATATTAATGGGTGCTGTGCCTCTGAAATATGCATACAAGTTAACAGCGTTATGACGAACCGTCAACCCAATGGTCCTGAATCTGACGACAATGGCTACAATCTTCGTGTCTCTGTGGATAATGAGTCAAGGGTAAAAGGTAGTTGCGGTGTTCCTATCGCCCGCAGGAAACATGCTGAATGCAATTTAGTAACCGGAAAATTCCCATTTAGTCATCAAGAACAAGGCACCGAAGGTAAACAATTGTTTTCGATGAATTCCTCGTCAGACCTGTACAATCATATGGGGAAAAAGCAACGGAAGTAACATTGGTTTCGATCAGTTCAAATGAAATTGGATCACGTGCCAACTGGGGGCATAAACCAGCAATAAGCCTAAACGATAAGCGCACAATAGGGCAAAGATGCAGTCAAATGATTCCTTCCGGCCACCGAATCGTCCACTTTTTCCGGCCATGGCAACTTGAGAGCTTCGATCAGTTTCTTTTGTGAACACAAAAGCGGTTGATACAACCGAATACTGATCGCCTCAGCTGTAGCGAGGGTACGGAGGCGCAAGCCTTTCGATTGGAGTGGCGGAACTTTGTAGAGTATTCGAAAGGCGCGGACTGGATCGACTTCGTGCCCACTATCAACTAGATGAGCCATAATAGAGCTAGTTATAGCCCCGGTGCCGCCTCGACGCAACCAGCGTGGAAGGGGCTCATTAATGCGCTTTGACAAGTGCCGAGCCGTTCGACTGATGTAAGTAGCGCCACAGGCGCACTCGAACTGATAAATGACCATGGAAGCGGTCAGCAACGGCAATTAGTCTTTGTTGCAAATGCGAATGAGGGGTTCCGTTGAGAAAGTACACTTGAGCTTAGCAGCTGGAAAAGTTGACTTAATGGCTGTAGAAAGGCTTCTGGTTATACGTTCGGCGGCTGCGTCTCCTTTGAAAGGTAATCTTATAAAGAGTTCTTTCTTCTCAGCTGTTAGAACCTGCACAGGGTCGGGTTTTTCTTGCATGTTCTTACTAATGAATCGATCAGGATACCCATTTTCGCGCAGCACATTTTGAATGAACTCCAACTCAGTATCCAACGTGTCTTCAGAACAAATCCTGCGGGCCCTTGTGGTTAAAGTGCAAATTAGGTTTCGCTTGTATCTCAAAGGAATGAAACTATGGAAGTTCGTATACTGGCCACTCCAGGTTTTCTTTCTGTAGACGTGCCGTTGGATCGAACCATCTATCCTACGAGTTAACAATACATCAAGGAACGGTAACCGGTTGTTCACTTCCTTCTCGCAGATAAACTGCAATGTTGCGTGGGCCTGATTAAAGCGTTCAATAACAGCGTCGATGTCAGTGGACTGATCGGCCACAACAAATATGTCATCCAGATAGCGATGATAACAACCAAAGGTGGTTGCGTCGAGGCGGTACCGGGGCTATAACTAGCTCTATTATGGCTCATCTAGTTGATAGTGGGCACGAAGTCGATCCAGTCCGCGCCTTTCGAATACTCTACAAAGTTCCGCCACTCCAATCGAAAGGCTTGCGCCTCCGTACCCTCGCTACAGCTGAGGCGATCAGTATTCGGTTGTATCAACCGCTTTTGTGTTCACAAAAGAAACGGATCGAAGCTCTCAAGTTGCCATGGCCGGAAAAAGTGGACGATTCGGTGGCCGGAAGGAATCATTTGACTGCATCTTTGCCCTATTGTGCGCTTATCGTTTAGGCTTATTGCTGGTTTATGCCCCCAGTTGGCACGTGATCCAATTTCATTTGAACTGATCGAAACCAATGTTACTTCCGTTGCTTTTTCCCCATATGATTGTACAGGTCTGACGAGGAATTCATCGAAAACAATTGTTTACCTTCGGTGCCTTGTTCTTGAATGCAATTTACTTGACTTTATGCCAGTGAACAGCAGCATGTGTGCGGTTTGAGTTCGAACCTCTATTGGGGATAGTAAGGTATTTCTTTGGCTACGGACCGGACGGGGGTTTTAAGGATCACAAGCCTGCATCATAAGATGAGAGCGAGAGTTCGAGCCTGCGTAGGGGGGAAGGCAACCCTCGCAGTATCCTCAGCCCACGAGCGACTGTTGGTGTTTGCGGACAGCGAAGCACCTGCATACTGTGGATACCTTCGTTGCCTTTCTGCGGTTAATAAGCACCGTCTGAACACAAGGTGACTTTTCTTCGCTTTTGTTTATGCCCCTATTGAATGCAGTTTAGGGGGTAGCAAAGACAATTTCAAATCAACTGGGAACGTTGGTGGGTGGCAAAGACCAGTGAGATGGAGGAAGAAGGTGTCGCTGGGAACAGCCGGGTGCTATTCCAGCTCATCCGGAATACGGGTCCGAGAAATCCATCAGTTAGTGCGACAATAGTTATAGAAGTTCGACAGTAGATCTATTCTCACCATCGTCGACTAATCCGTTGGACGGAGCATTTTGAAGAGCAACTCAGGAGGCCTGCTGCTTGCCGAATCACCTGAGCCGCTTCAGAAGAGATTAGATATGAGCTCGCTGTGTTGGAATGAAACAAAGCGCCGGGATCCAACAACCTACTTCGTGAAAATGACTGTTGATTGGACTTGTTACTCTATTCAACACGAAGTGAACCACCGAAGGAGGTGCCTTCAGACCGGCGACTGTCAACCATAGTGCTCACCATCAAGAAGTCAGCATACTTAATGCGAAAATCAATGTGGCGTTACTTTTATTTATACTGTCTCCAGACTTCGCACGGATACCATCCTTCTACGACTTAATGGTCCCGTGAGAACCGTATCACTGAAAGCCAAGCTGGCTTCCGCCCCGGTCGTGGTCGCATCGATCGATCACATATTTACGTTTTGCGAAGTGTCAGAGCAGATACACTTACAGACGACCGATTATATTGGTTTTCCTTGGGTTGAAAGTCGTCTTCGATTATGTTGACTGCGCCAGTTTCTTGCACTGCCTATTCAATAAGGACGTGGCAGCTAAAATCCTGTCCATTCTGAATTCTCTCTACCGTGAGTCTCAAGGCACGGTAAAAGCTTGCAGGAAGCTGTCTACTAAGTTTACCATGAAAAGTGAGATCAGCCAGGGTTGTCGTCCATCGCCCTTCCTCTTCAACGCCGTGATCAAAATGATCATGAGTGACTGGGTTCTATCAGACTCTACCGTAGTGGAAGTGCTGCTTGGTGACCGACTAACAAACCTTGTATGTGGGGACGACGGAGCCTTCCTTGAGTCTGACACAGCGGCTATGCAAACAGTACTGAATAAACTGGTGCAGAGCGCTGCAAGCACCGATATGTGCTCTGCAGCTTCAAAATGCAAAATAATGTTGCAGGACTGGGCCGATACACCGCTAGTTCTAGCTGTCACCGAACAGCCACTGGAAGTTGCGGATCGGTTCACCTACCATGGTAGTCGTGCCACATGTGGTGGTCACATCACTGTGGAGATTACTTCGTGTACCATCAAGATCTCTGTTGTTCTGCAGAGACGCAGTCATCTATGGAGACGGCGGGACACCAGCCTATCAGTAAAAGGTATGATGCAAAACGCTGCGACATGGCCGGTCTTAGTGGATGGATTAGAGACCCGGCCAGTTCGCAGCAAAGATATTAAATGCTTGGCCGTGTTTGAACACCGGTGCTTGCGAAATATTGCTCACCTCTGGTGGGAACACCGAGTGAGCAATGTTGCCCAGCAGTTGGTTTTTGGCAAGAAGCAATCTGGTGCTTCACTGGAGTGTTTGCGGTACCTTAGTCGCTAACGTTGGTCAGAGCATGTCCTCCGTATGCCCGTTGACCGGCTTCCTCGGTGTACATTATACACCGTGGCTGCACTGAGTTGGATGAAAGCACGAGGTGGACAATCAACAGTGTGGCATAGAGGCGTGAATAAATTGACTGAGACCTGGTCGAGGTGGTGTATGCTGAATTAGTGGGTGGGTGTCCCGGGATGGTTCGCACCAATAGTCGGAGATCCCTTCAGGCATAGCGACGTCGCGCAGTCGGTGGAGTTCGTGCATTCAGTTTCTCGTGTCAAGCTGCTAATGTTCATTTCAACTGGATTTGTTTAACGCAAATCGCTACTGATTTCATCTTCTTTTCATTCAAGTTGTACTCAACCCCATTTTCACGCCGGTGTTATTGTTACTTTGGCGATTTGAGTCGTGGCAACTGTATCCACCAGACTTCGGTGCCCGGAGCATAGTTGTTCAATTGGCCGAACCGAAACAAAACCTGGAGATCTGATACATGCACCAATGTAAAAGAATCAAGAAATGTAGCATGCTCGTGGTGAAAGTGTGGCATATAATGTTCCATTCGAATGTGTTCGAGGACGAGGCACAGGTGTTGAGATTGCCACACAGCAGAGAAACTACTGCCCGAGAAGTGGATGGCTAGACCACGTGTAAATCGAATAGAGAATAAATTATCCTGGACAAATCAAGTATTGATAACCGACAAAGCCTTTGATGGAGAGGTTAGAAACGGTTGAATGAGATCATCCGAATTAGACAGCAGCGAAGATCAGTGAAGGATAGTAAAGATACCTTGGAAACCACAGCAGTAAACCTGCATATGGAGATAGCACATTAGATATGTTTTCTGTAGAATGACTATCGATCTGAGAAACGCGTTACTTGATGCCCAATTAGGAACGAACCATCTCGATTTCCATTGGGTTGGAAAGGTCGAAATTTTGCAAATGCCTGGACCCAATGCATAGCCAGCTCTGATTCAAAGATCTGTACTACTCTGTCAAACAAACAAAAGTCTAGACCGTAAGAGTGGCCGAGTGCTTAATGACCATCATCAATAGCAGTACAACAGCCAGTTGGACTGGTGCTTCGCGTTGAATAGAAAGCACGTTCTGCACAGCCGAAGAAAAGCTACCGTCATTCAATGTTGGGAGATGGAGGAACGCACAATGCCTTTCAATCACATAGGCGGTTAAGTGCCTAATTTGATCTGGCGTAGTCATGAAGTAAGTACCGCCCACGTACAAGATCACATGCTCTTGCTGTTAACCATCAATTCCGAAAGAAGGAGCTAACTTTCAAAGCGCGTCTTTACCGTTAGGTCTTTGTAGGTCTGCTCACTGCTTCACCCACTTGTTTTCACAAAGAAGAAATGTAGAACAAAAGTAGATCGTTCGATTGTACTCGGAAAGCATTCAAACTGGTCACTAAGTAGCCAAATGGGAAGAGGCAAGAGGAGTATTCCGCTAGTCTGGAGGCCACAATTCAGAGTTAATATTGCTGGAAAAGTTGCTCGGTAAAGCGAAAAGATTAGGTAAAAATAGACCTACCAATGCAAAATAGTAAGAACGGGTGGATGATCATGCGGATTTATCAATGACCGGATGATCTAAAAATAGTTAGTCATGATTTGGGGCTAATTTTCAGTATCTTCGAGAAATGCAGTGCGAGGTTGAATGCTGTAAACTATCTGGTGATTTAGCTGCTGAATTGAGACAAGTTAGCTTGATGGAACGGAGAAAGCAAGACAGCTAGTATGCTAGGACGATTTTCAAATACACCAGAATAAGGGTACCAGTGGATCAAAGTCCAGAAGAGACTCGGTACTAATGGCACTAAAACCCATGGATAGTTGCCTCCGAAGTACGATTATGGCTGGGTCGGATGAAAGACTATGGCGAGCAATAAACGGATGTGAATTTGCATCATGAAATAGTGAATCAGCCACGCACGGAAGCGATAAAAGTGGTGCAGACATTAGTATCACTTTTACCTGGAAAGAACTCTGTCTAGCTTCCGTTCACACTAATCTTCATTAGACTAGTAAATTGCTGTAAGATGATGTTTGTGTGCAGCACGGATGTGCACGTTGAAGGGCTGCAAACACAGACGTTGCCCTGTGCGTCCAGGTTTATAGTACATTGTTTCACTCATTCACAAACCAGTGCCGGACAACGAAAGAGAGAACTATAAACGAGACACTAACCGAATTGAGTTTCATCGTGCTTGTTTTGATATAGAAGATATGAAATGGGAATCACTGTAGACAGGATATACACTTGACGGCAAAACTGAGGTCACCATCAACCCAGCAAAGTGTGATGAGAAGGGAGGGCTGATGAATATAAATAAACTTACCTTGCCAAATTCAGTGGCGAGCTCATGGCTGTGAAAGGGTGACAGATTAAGTAAATCAAGAATGAGCTTCACGCTATCTGCTAAAGTTCTAGGAGGTGCGGATGGACTGATTCCCTCGTCTTCGTCCATGTTCTTTGCCCCGGCCTCAAAAATGAGTCCATGAAGTCGTACGTCACGATTGTGGACTAATAAAAGTCTAGAAAACGAGCGAAACATGCACATAAAAGCTAACAACATACGATCGCGTAGGATCAAAGGACAAATACAAGAACTTTGAAAGATCACCCCGGAAGCAGTTCCCCTTTTTACTCTCCTAAAAAGCGAACTCATGTGAAAAAATTATGAACGTACAAGGTAGGAAGTGACGTCTGAACTTCCATCTTTGTCCAGCGTAAAAGTGACCTGAAATAGTTTAAGAATGTAATAGGTACACAAGTTAGTTCAGAAAGCTGAATAGGGTGGTGTGAAATAAGGCGGAACTATTTCGTTATCTATCCGGATATTAAACTGTTGAGGCGTCTAATTCCGTTAGGGACTACTCAGGGAGACGATGGCCCACACTTGGGGCCAGCCAGAAATAACAGGCCATGACAAAAAATTACGGCGTCATTTGCTAGAGTACTTAGTTAGATGCTCCACCGTTTTCTCTGATAACAAATAGCCTTATAGACAGTGTATTAGGATGGTATACAAGCTAAGCAGGTATGCCCGTAGACCTAACACCAATCAAGATCAAGGAATGTGCTTAGCGTCCTCCGGGGCCCCGCAGTAAGAGACGAGACAAAACAATGGTCCTTATTCTGCTAGACCTCTTCAGTAAGCTAGATCCCACTTACGTTTAGCCTCCACAACTATGTGCCACACCAAATTCGGGAGTGAAAAATAACAAGATGAGAATTCAGATTTGATGAGATCAGATCTGCAGCCGCGTCTTCTTAAAACCTAAGGAGCTTAGTTAGGTAGTATATTCTAACTTCATTCTGAGTACATGGTGGACGCTTACTGTAACACTGTACTGAACAGTGGATGCTTCTAAGCAGTGCTGTATCAAGTACAACGAATACCGATGCACCCCTTGGTCTTGTAAAATCGACAATGAACTAAGATGCAACTCGTAGATAAAAACTTGAGGGGACGCGGCATGAGCCCTGATTATCACTGGTTTTGGAACACGCACGCAGTGGCTAAGACACTATTCACACATAACGTAGCCTCACGAACGGTTGATCGTGCACCACGGGAACTAATATTGGGCAGCACGTCACGGACGAAAGTGGACGCAGCTATATCGTCCCCGAAAACAACTATCCCCGTCTACATCGCTAGGACATTTGGATCAGCAACACATGACCCGACAAATGACCGTAGAGTCAACACCAGCCCAGGTACGCGGTGTCAATGTCCCGAAACGGCGCCATACACGGCCGCCCATCCGCGGCTCTTCTTGTCATGTCCCTTTAGGGAGAAGATGGTGCTGTGCAGGTGTCATTGTTGGTTCTCTCTACTCCTGTAAAATGCACGTAAGTGCTGTAGCCTACAAGTGTTCTGTGGTTGGACGACCGTTTACCGGACGACTGATTTAAAAACCCCTGAGAACAGGATTCGTAAGCGCTAGTCTTTTGGATAAATTTTTCAAATAACTCGCGCCACCGGTCCCAGGAAATCATTTGCTAGCGATAGAAACAAGGACGGTGTTACAACTCTGTGTCACAATAAGAAATGCTGTTTGGCCCCTTAGACGCGATACTTCAGGAGGAGTAAAGTGGCCCTCGGCTCTTGGGTCGCTTCGTGTCCAAATGGAGCAGGATAATTCATAACCATTTAAGTTATAAGCCTGGGCTGAAGCTGATCGAAATGCAAGCTCAGCCTTCAACTGTTTCCGCGATGTTAGTCCGGATACGCCTGTGGTCTCGACCTTTTAGAGTGGTGGTGAGGATCTCAGCAAGCAATATATTCCCACAACGAGTATTACAAAACGACCAGGTACTCGCGTGAAGTAGTGCATTATGGTGAGATAAAAAGTTGACTAAAGCTCCTCAACCCCTTTTCATCAGATCTATTTTGATTCTTCACTCAGAAAGACCACCCTGTTGCATCAACAGCTGTGAGCTATAACGTATCTGCAAACTGAAACTGATCTGCCCATTTTGTCTAAATCCTTATTGCTCTGTTGATTCATTTGGTAAGATGAAGCTAACAGATTGTGTTGCCAACATCTTTATCCCTGTTTCCCACATTTATCAGTTTTCTTTTTACTGCCCTACGCCTACTTTACTAGTAAACCAAACACCTGAGCCAATTGGACAACTATGACAAAACCCCTCTCATATAACTTTAACCAATCACCTCTTCGAGTTGTCACGGCTGCCATGTACAGCTGCTAAGTCGTAATAAGGAATACCTTCGTTTTTGACTCTACTTTTCTAGAGTACGATAGTGTGTCGGAAAACACGTTGCCTAAATTTGATGCCAAATTCCATGCACTTACAATTACGTCCTAATGTTCAGTCTAGTAACACAGAATTCCTCGGTGAACAACATCCCCGTGGTACCAGCTAAGTGCTTCGGGTTTATTCCGTTCCAGCAAATGATTCGGCAGTGTACCAGGAAATGGTGAGTTATCGCTTGACAAGCGTTCTCACAAAAAGTGCCTGCTTAATAAAACTGCGAGGTGGCGGATGGCAGTCGACACTAAATAAAATAGTTGCTTCGTACTTTACCTCGATAGAGCGTAGTATTCCAGCAGTTAGATGCCATCCTTGTGGGAAAGATTGGCTCCTATTGGGTACATAACTAGACAAAAGGCATTGAACTGAGAAACAGGTCACCGGCTCGCAAAGGACACGATTCGCTGAATTCGCCCGGCTGCCTGATGGGAAGGCGGTTAAGCCGAAGGCTCGGATTAGTGTTCCCTAAATCATTTCGATAATTCGGTTATCGCAACCGACTAATATCGCGTTCTCTGCAAAAACCACGGGGCACACTACACGTTCGTCCCTATTTCCTGTCTCCGTCGCATCTCACCAAGCTCTACCACACGCCAACAATTCTTCTGTCGTTAATTCTTGTTACTCTAGGTTTAGTCTACACAGGTTTCACCGATGTCCATGAGGTTCAGTCTGAGGTTATCCTTTAACCCGGATCTTCATCTCGGCTGGTAACCTTCATTTGTGGATACTTATGCAGATCAGCCAACAGGCCGGTCTGGCACGTACTTTGAATTTCGGCGTTATTGATACCACTGTTTCTAAAACAGGATTGAGACCCAAGTACTGCACTCAAGTGGACATCTCCGATTAATCAAGGAGCCACATACAACCTAGGTTTGTCTGGCGATGCAGAAACGGCTGCAGCTGGTTTGGCTTGGCATTAAGCAACAAAACCTAAGCCGGACCCCTGAAATGGTTCCAGGTTAGCAACAGACAATGCGTAGTTCTACTTCAAGACTCGTGTAGGATAAACAGGCAACGCGCTAATAGGTATAAACTGCTCGTGGTTACCGCCTGTGCGCCAACTAATTGTAGTTGGGAACAGAGCAAGGACGAGTCCTATTAATAAGTTCTTCAGCTATTACGCTAAGTAGCCAAATGGGACGTCGTTGTCTTTGCAGGAGACTCCAACGTCCGAGTTGGTCGCCTGTTACCACAGGAATATTCCTTAAGTAACGTGTCAGCTGTACGCAGTAAAGGCGCTTCGCCGCCGCGCGACCACCACCAGCTGCGAGCGGGTAGACTATACCGCGAGAACGCCCACTCCGTACGCGGATTCGAACCAGTGACCCTATGGTTGCAAAGCAGGTGCGCAGACGACTCGGCCACCGGCCAATCAAATAACGGAACGTGGTTTCTCAATGTGTGAAGACAACGGTCATTATCTTGAAATCGAGAAATTCGGGTACTCCCAAAAACGTTTCGTCAAGCTGCGTCCTCCTTCACTAACTTGGTCTCAAACACACCATATTGCGAGCAGTTTCAGGTGGCGGGGTAGTCTATAACGCTGTTGATCAGTTTGGTTTAGTTGATTCAGATCACGCACTGGTTTGTGCAAACATTTGTACGCAATTTAAAGGGCCCCGAAACGGAAGCGTTGTGGAACTCAGTCATTTAAGGACAAGCATTTACCAACTAAAGTCAACTCAGCGAAAATCATAGCATGTTCGGCAAACCAAACTCCCGATATAAATTGCTCGTTCCCGACGCTTTTGAGTCGATGGTGTTCCTCCCTTGACTCATCTAAACATACAGTGATTAACTCATATGAACGTCGACCGCTCCGTGTCCAGTGATCGAATGCCTTATGTCCGCCTCCCATTAGTTGTCTGGCTCGCTCGTTTGGTCCATCCGTTCAATCTGACACGATATACACAACAGAATCTCCTTTTTTCGAGTCATTGCGTCTCTAGATTACTAGGCACTCCGTACACTTTGTCACTCCGCGTCATCTTCGCAGTATCTGCCGAAGTGATCTTACCACACGGCATAGGGCGCTCCACTCCCAATCCATATTGTAGTCTCTGGTGTCGTCTCAACTGCACTCGACTTCTTCTGACCATCGAACGTCCTTCGCAGTCACAACAACTTTCTTCCACTGCTCTTGACCATCAAGTACTGGTTGAACGTATAGGTCCTATCGCAATGTCAGCCCAGGTAGTGCGCGTGCACCGCTGCCATACTGCCGTTTTGCGTGGTCATTTATCTTCTCATACTGCTCTGTAGTCGCTCATGTTGTAGCGAAGCCGTACGCAAAATTGTGGCAAGAGTCAGCATCAGAGTTCTAATCCTTCGACTGTATAGACGCCGCACTTGACTAAGACCGATATCCGTCGAAGGAGTGTTACTATTCTCCAGTAGCATGAGATAGGGGTCTTCGCCAACAGCACTAATTTTTTTGGTAAGAGTTGCTTGTCTGCTTCACTGACGACTCGTACTTCCATTCGATTGGCTGTGATATGAGCCAGTTCGCTGGTGCACGAATTCCCACTTGATTGCGAAGGCCTGGAACAAAGCGCTGGTGAACCGGGGCGTATTGTCGGAGACCAACTTCTCCGGTACACCGTACCGCGCGAATTGACATCTGATTTTGCTGATTACTGCTTCTGTGGTCTTAGTAGTGAGTAAACCGATTTCAAAATAATCACTATAGTGATCCATAGTAAGTAATTTTTCTCGTTGTCACAGTGTAAGTGAACCGCCTCTTTCTGCCACAGTCAGTCAGGGACATAATGTGACATCATCGGTTCCCTCGTCGGCCGGACTTTATGTGAACGGTATGCCTCACAGTTCGACACATGATCCCTGATTTGACCAGTGATTCCAGTCTAGAACATCGTCTTTTGCCCAGTTAGTAGTATAGTCGGCCCGCAGGTCAGCGCGATGAACATGTTACAGTACTTTGCCTCGGAG